ACTAATGACGTCCCTTCCCCATTTGTAGTAATTAAATCCTGTATGGGACTGTGTGCGCACGATCTCTACCACTGAGGTTAAATCATGGGTCAGGGTGGTAAGCCTTCCATGTGAGGCCATATCAGTTTGTAAAGAATGATGTGGGGGCTCAGTGGCTTCACCACCACTAATAGATCATATCTGGTTAAACAGAAAACAGTATCTGAATACAGTAGATAACTTTTTGTCTTTGGTTTGCATTATACAATATGTTCTTTCATTCAATTTTCAAAAAATACATGGTCAACTCTACAATACCTATACCTCTCTCGAACAACAGCGCATTGATGTCTGACAATGAAAAAAGATGAAAGATAAGCCAAAACACAATGCCCTTAAGCCAATGCTGCACAAATGCAGGAAAACACCCTACTGCTCTTTCATTAGATACATATTTATTAAGCTATGTTTGCACAAAAAAGATGTTTTTTCTCAATTTAAAGTCCCAGCTCTTTAAACCCATTAAGCCAGCTGATGGAAGAACCCCTATTCTTCTCTCATCAAAAAGAGAGTGAGCTGGTTCCCACAGGAAAACCAGGCATTGCCTGGTACCCCTCCCACCCAAACCTCTCTCCCTTTCTCTATCTGCTATCCCCATTTCTCAAGGACCACTGAGAGAATGGCACACATCCAATTAAAACCCCTCCTCTCCTTGCTCCCTCTGAAACTCAAACTCTAATGTTGTTATTGCTGTACGGGCAGCCCCCTGCCCGACCCTACTGTCTTCTTATCTCCCCACCCATTTACCCATTTCCACTTCCTCCCTCTCTCCCCTGTTCAACCATGCCTGAGGGTTTCAAAGCGAGGGCTCCATGAAACTCGGGTATGACACACTGCGACAGGGGGGACCCAGACTCACTAGCCTATTTACAATAGGAGCCAGGGATAGGAGGAGTGGAGGAGGATGGTGGCGGGGAGTGGGTATGCAGTGTGCAGAGAATTTAGACGTACCGCTGTTTCCTGATTGCACTACGGTGTTGAAGTTAAAAGGACCCCTAGGGCGAAGGGACAACCCTTTGAAATTGGTTTTGCTAATGTTTGAATAGATAGCCTATTAAAACGAGGAGAGCATTCTCAAAATGTGCCCTCTGGTTTAATTAATTTAGGTGAGATGGGAGGCAGTACTCTGCCAGTCAAGAGATAATTGAGATGAGTGGGCCATGTAGAATTTCAGAGGAACCAGAGAGGGAAGTGCCAGAATGTACTCATGTAAACAGAGAACACTATCTGTCTACATCTCATCCCTGATCTCTTCATGTACGGCACCAAGCCACAGAGCACCCCGGGACTGCAGAAAAGAAACAACAACAAAACTCCTCTTTAGTTGGAGGATATGGGTGGGACAAGTCATTCCCTTTGGAGATATATATATATATATATATATATATATGGTTGGGGCACCCACCATCTGTCCACTCATAGCTACCACAAGTTTATTAATGCTCTATATGCTAATAAGCATGGAGGGTTGCACCCCCATCTCATATATTTTGTTTCTCTAGGGATTTCACTCCAGCTCCAGGGGATAATATCCATAGGGGAAAAACCTCAATATACTCTACGTGTGTCAAAGCATATGAAAATAAAGTGTTCAGCAGTATGGAGAAATGAGGACTTCTGATTTCAAGAGGTCTTTAAAAGGACAAACATTTGTGTTTCTCCCATTGCTTGCTATGTATGTTAAGATAAGATGTGTTTTTTTGATTGCTGGTGGAAACTTGCAAATCCACCTCTAACCAATTTAAAAAGTCCCCAGTGCATATGGGATGATAGTTAATTCTGCTGATGACCAAGCAAACTTTTTATTTTTATTCAACAGATATTTTCACACCCACTGACCCACAGGAACTACTGATAAACAGCTTTGAGTGATTCTATATGGCTACTGAAGGTCAGTTCCTGTCTCAGTTTGCCTTGGAAATGGCCAGAACACTGTAAGGAAATGCAGCATAATGAGTGTTGATGTTAACTCACTGGGGAAGGCAAGCACATCCCTCTCATAAAAAAAAAAAAAAAAAGTATTGTAGAGACTTGTTCCTTGTTGTTCCTTGCTGAACACAGGTGTCAGAAGTGACTTGCCTGATGAACCTCATGTGGTCATTTCCTCTTATCCCTTAAAAGATATCCGGAATGATACAAAGCTATATTTCACACACTTCCTATTCTCTCTAAAAAAAAAAAAAAAAAGCCAAACTCCTCACAAATAAACAGGATGCAGAGAGGGGGGCAGGAAGAACTTTGCTTAGACTTATGTTCTTATGGTTACAGAAACCCATAGACAAGATTTATAATCAAAACAGAAAGCCATAAACAAGCATTCTGGAGAGGCCTTTACATATTTATATAAGGGTGATTGTGTCAATTACGCTGCTTGGATTCTGTGGCAGAAAAGATATGGAGGGTTTATGGGAAATCTGATAAAGCCCACAGACCTAATCCTAAGACTCCATTAAAGGAATGATGCAGGCGGGGTTCAAAACAAACTCAGTCACAAACTTATGCTCTACCCACATGTCTAGCTGATTCATATGCTTATATAAGCCACCTGTGTCTCAAAACAAATACATATGGCACCACCTTGAACGGATATAGTTGACCCTAGCTAAACTGAATAGCAGTTCATATACCTAGAGCTAACTGGATCAGGGGTCTCATTTACAAAACTGTGCATAGAAACCTCACTAAAAGTGTACCTGCGCCCAAAAGCCAAAAAATATTCAGACTTATAAAACCGTGCGTATGCACAGTTGTAAGGGGGCACCGGAGCGCCACCCCTTTTATAACAGATCTGCAGGAAGGGGAAACCCTCCTGAGTAGTGACGTCGCTGGGTGGAGGGGGACACGCACACGCAAGACGGGATGACCCAGGTACTAATTTGGATTCCCCCGTTTGAAAAGAGATTAAACCAAATCCATTCCACTGCATGCAAGTATTAATTAATATGAATCCTGATTACACTGTACAACATATTTGAGGCGTTCTTTTGCAGAAACAGATATCTCCGTTTGTGTTTATTCTCCTAAATCTGGATCTTTTTATGCGCTGTAAATGATCTTAAATTGTGTGTGTTTTTTGCGCACTTCAGGGAAAGTCAATCAAACGGGTGTTTGTTTATTCAGAAAGGCTTTAAGCCTTTAATGCTCAGAGGTAATATTTTGATTTATTTTACACAGTAGGCCTATTCATTTCAAACCCTTTCATCATTCTGCCATGTGAGTCGCTGTTTCTCATTTCTCCTCTTTATGTGCGTATGCATGGTTTAGAGTTTACTTACAGGACCGCACATTTTCCCGTCAAGTCTGGTTTTTTTACAGATCAAAACCTTTGCTTGGGAAGTGGCGTACGCACGTTTCCAGCCCTGTTTTGTACATACGCACTGTTCATAAATGAGCCCCCAGGTGTTTCAACAGGAAACATGCAAGCTAATGTTTTTTCACCAATATAGACGATGGACATACAAAGAATTTGAATCAACTAAATAGAAAAATAACACAACAAATTAGAAGAATACTAAGAAAAGTAACAGGTTGGTTTAGTTATCAGTTGGTGAAATTACAAAATGGCACGTAAAAGACACAATGAAACTACATGATAAAGACAACTGGACATGTTGGAGAGAAGGGATAGGTAGCCATTGTGTTTCTTACGCACACACACAGACACACACATCTAGCTCAGTCACGTGCATGCACACTGGCTTCTTTGTTGACAGATTTCTAAGAGTTTACAGTCGTCTGTTGTAGGAGAAGGGAGACTGAAGACTGGCCTCTTGCCTGAGTGAACCATGTTGAATTGTCAGAGGCATACAGCCACTACTATGACCTCATCCTCTGCTGCTTCTTGCCTGGACTCCTTTCTCATCTGGCCCTAGGCTTCAGTAATTGGATTACACAGGTAGAATCATGACCCTGCTGGGCTGCCATACCGCTTCTCTACATGTACTTTTGACTTCAGTGAATGTTTTAAAGAAATCTTTATACACAAGGGTATTTCAAAACTAACTAACTTAACTATGTATAATAACTGTTAACTGCAGGCTTAACAATATGGAGGATCAAGTATAATAAATGCTCAAAATAAAATTAGGTACTTCATTGCTGCTCAACTGTTTTGTAATAATTTCCTCCATATTTACAGCAGCCAGAAGGCAGTCTCTGTGAGTGTGACCTGATGACGCTCACAAAAAGAGATAATAGAATATTCCCATGAGCAGTCACAATGCTATGTTCTTCTATCAATGGGCAACAACAACTTCTGAGAGGCTTGGGGAGAAACTGTATGCAAGTTTCACTGAGGACCCGCAGTCATGTAAACAGCCAACTAACTGCTACACACCGAAAATACTGAATACATGTTCCTTCACAGGAACCAGAGAGGAACTGGACTTCACAAATGCATGATTCTTTTCATGTAAACACACTGCGCAAACAATTCATCCACTGAGATGCTTAAAACAGCCTTCCAATGATGGTCTAAAGTAAATGTGGCCTCTACTTGAACTGTGGAGCGGTGCTGGTGGTGTTTTGTTGAGCAGAGTGAAGGACAAAAGCTCTTAAAATCATTAGAGATTAGCGGCAGGCCATTTTACCTAAAACTGGGTGGAATTGTTTTTTTTCATTAATTTGCAGAACCATATGGTCGTCCTTCTGTGACACACAAGGCAAAACTATCTATGAGTGGATCTTGTGGATAGACCAGCCTGTCTGGACACCTAATCAAATTTTACAGTAGAAGTTTCTTCACAAAATGATTACGTGGGTGGTCTTTACAATAATTTGCACATGATTATTGAGGCTGAGATTCATATAACAGAGTATCAGGTCTGACAGCAGTCAGACAACAGACTGCTAGGCTTGGCAGCCACCGGATTATAGGCTACTGGGCTAAGGCAGGGAGAACAGGGCAGTTTCCAAAGAGCACCTGACAGCCTGTGAACAGCGTTACCCCAAAATGCACCTACCTGTCCCCTGGCTATGGAGGGTGCCTAGTTTGTATGAGTCTGGCAGACTCCCAGACCGCCGTAAGCCCTGTGCATAGCGGCTGGGATTCATCCTCTTAGGCCCAGAGGGTAGGGGATTTGGGACTTTATTTAGTGCCATTTAGAAAAGATTACCCCTTAACTGTAGACTTGCCGTCCAGCAAAGCACAATGGATAAAAGGGCAGGATCAGAATACCCGAAACAATGCTGAAATGTTTATGCTAGGTCACAGATAGAGGCAAAAATATTACTGTCCACAGACTGCAACCCCAGAGAAACAAGACAATGATTGAGTATGATGTCTTGAGCGTTTAGGAAGGGCTCAGAGTTTGTGATAAGCTCTGAGAATGGCTGAAATAAGTGAGAAAAGAGAGAGTGAGAGATGAGCAGCTGTTGTTGAAACATTGCTTGGTTTGGCAATCCAATAATATGAGACTTTATTTATGACTCTTTATATAAAGGGACCAGATGGGTTTTGTGTCCTCCTCGTATTTTCTACTGACGTCCAATCAGCGTCCAACCCATTTAACACCACAGAGAGGGCTTAGAGTCACACCAGATATCTTTGTTTAAGGACATTGGGATATATCCTTTAGTGATCTGCTATTTCAAAGGGGACAAAAGTGACCAATCCTTTCAAACGTAACCACAATGGGACGCCTCTCTCCATCTCCTCTTTGTCATACACTGTGTTCTGTGCATTTAACCCTCTCTTCGTCTGTGACACCCAAGACCTGTTAACCCCAGCTGGTTCAAACAAACAAAGGGCCAGCGAGCCCTGCACAGAGAACCCAGGTTTTACTGAGCTTAACAATATTTAGGGTTCCGATTGTCTGGTTGAATTCCACAATGCAGTACACAGCTGCCGCTTCACTAATAGAAGAGTTGCAGGGGAGGAACAGGGTCTGTGTGTCACTGAATGACTTACAGTGCAACAAGGACCTGAGGAGCCCTAGACCTTTGCTGAAGTACCACTGTCTCAGGTGTTTATAGTATGAAAAAGAAAGAACCAGCATCAGTAAAAATTCATCAGGACTGTGAGATGCTCTATGGGTCTATTGTCTTTGGATAGAAGATGATGTCTTTCTGGCCACTGTGTTCTATTTGGTTACATTCACAGAGACCTAAGAAAGGCATAGGGGCTAAACACCCACCACATGTACCTATATACTATAGAGTATATGTAGGAGCCGGCACATTCCTCAGGGCTGCATTAACAATTGGAGGTGTGGCACATGATGTCGCCTGTGAGTGGCTTACCTTAAGCATAATAACAACAGCTAGGAGAACACCACCTCACGCTCTGACACTGCTCAAGTCAGTATAATGTCATTAACCACTTAACCTGTGTCTGAGACTATACACTGCAATCTGCACGATAACTGGGTAGAAGTCCATTCAGCTTTATTATATCTTCACTAGTAGCCTAGCGAGCAAGGGTGCCTTTATCAGAGCACTGTTTGAAGAGTGGGCAGCTTATTATGTTGTAAATCAGCTGTTGACTTTAGATATAATCCTGTGTGTCACAAATTCCCTTGAGGAAAAGTTGCATACTCACACAGCAATGCATCATCAGGCACGTGAAAGTGTAAAGTCATAGCAGGGTTATAGTCTAGGTAGGGCTGGACGATATGGCCAAAAATGTCTTTCGATATTGATAATTATCACCATAAGTATCAAACAGTTATTTCTTTCGAGTTTAAAGGATGATTTTTGCTCCTGAGTGATAGTGAATGGTTAACTGTGGTTTAAACTCTATGCAACACATGATGCCAAACAGTGGATTCACTTTACAAATCTGAGGTGGAACATTCAAAATAATTATGACAAAATCTTTGAGTAAAATTAAGTAAAAGCTTTTTTCAGTCCTTATTCCTCAACAAAATAAACATCTTAATAAAAAAAATTAAGTCCTAATCTGTGTATGATTCAAGTGAATAAAAAAATTATTGAATATTTATTGAACATTTGTTTAGTTATTGAAAGAAAATATATTGCGATAATTATTGTTATTGTTTTATTGTCTAGCCCTAAGTCCAGGTCTCCAGAAGGTAGCACAAGGGCAGTGGGCCAAGTGAACTGTAATGTACCAGCATAGGTACATTGCCAACTCTGCAAAGCAGGCTACAAGAAAGCGGTGACTATCACTGAACACAGTCACTGAAGTGCTTTACATCCTTCTCAGTGGGGCGAAAGAGAGAGAAGATGGATAATGATAACGGGCCCTCAACACATTGCAGTTGATTCCGAGTGACAAAGGCCAGTGCGCAAGCAAATAAAGGGTAGAAAATAATTTTGTAGTGTAAGAGTATGCCAATGATAGACCAAACGATATATTATACATACAAATAAGATCCTATGAATACCATTAACCAATGCAAGGTTCCAGCCAATTGCCATGTGTAAACATACTACTACAGCTAGCAGTGAGATGACCCCTCAGCAGTCACCCACCAAAATAGTTGGAAAGCAGCACCTGCTGAGGAAGCAGACTGGCTGCTCAAATTAAGGCAAAGAGCTGTGCCGTTTCTAAGCAACAGCAGTGCACAGAATTCCTTCATCTTCCTGCCTCAAGAGAAGCGAATATGTGGTGGGGGTATGTTTGAGTGTGAATATTAGTGCTCCGTCCAAGGGTAGCAGAGAAGGTGAGGATTGGCTGAATGTTGGTGGCAGTTTGCTCGCTGTCATGATGATTTCTGATTGGCTGTTTACATCCAGCACGAGACAAAAGAGTGGTATCTGGGAAATCAAATCATTATGCATGTACATACATCCGAGCTATTTTCTTTTGGGTTGTGTTTGTGCATACCAGCAAGTGAGAGCAGAGGTTTAGGGTCACTGGAGAGGATCTACTGTTCAGCTATACTCTGTAAATTTGCCAGACAATCTACTCCAGTCTGTCTGCGTCCTCAAAAAGAGAACAGACATCCAAACATGGTCGCCATCGGTGTGAAATGGTTGTCGTCTACCAAAGAGAATGTGGCATTTATAAGTGACCAAAGAAATAACTGTCTTATGTGCTTTTGTAACAGCTGCAGACAAAGCCACACTGGTCAGTTTGACCTACCTACTTCAAAACGGCCCACAGATCAGAGCAACAAAAGACTGTGAGGCTGATTAATATGACATTTGTCATTTCACAATGATATTTTGAATGGAAACCAACCACTGAGATGAGCTTTAATTTTAGCCCCTGCTGTGACCATATCTTATCTTGTGTTTGCTCCCCACTACCTACTGTTTTTTTATACAGACAATAAAGAGGAAGTGGAGAGGGATATCAAAAGAATATGTTTGCGTTTCTCTTGAGATACCATCAGTGCTGTCCTTCATGCCGAGGCTGGGTTGGGGGTTTGGGTAGATGGATAAAAGATAAAGACAAAGCTATAGTCTTTCACAGCTTAGCATCTGACCAGTTATAAACAACCAGTATAACCCAACCCTGAGGAAAAAGAAAGAACCTCTGCCGCAGCTTTGAGCAGACAATTGCATTAATTGCCCACACAGATTGATGTTTGTGTTCCAGTAATGAGACAAAATCCAACAGTACAACCAGACTCACAATGTCAGCTGCTTTTTTAAATAAGACTTCAACTGGTATATTTTGAAAAACACAATAAATGTCGCCACAAACGCCCCTGCTTCTTTTAATCTGCTTTAGATCGCTGCCATGGTTACTCTTTTACACTGTTTCCAGTCTGTTTCTTCTTTTCAGAGCTTTATTTTTTTGCTGTCATTCCTCTGTGGCAGAGCTAGGCCTTCTTGCCAAAGACATGCATGGGAAACTGAGCAGGAGTTGCTGAGACAGGCCTGAGACCTCCTCCTTTCAGCAATAACAATCACTGGAGAGAGGGCCACTGGAAGCCGGATGGAGAAGAAGAGGGAGAAGCAGAGAGCCGAAAACCTCTCTGCATGTGGTGTCTCTGACTGAAACACACAAAAACCCAAGGGAGCGATGAGCAGGTTTCTGGCAAGGCAATAAGGGGTTTACCATGAAGTCAGCTTTCTCAGCTATTGGTTGTCTGGTCTAGTGGGAGGACACAGGAAGAACACATATCTCAAAGGAGGATGTGAGCAACCATGAACAAGCCTGTGTCAAAGCGGGAATCCGCTTTTTTTCCCCCCATGACCACTTGTAGGCACAGTAAGAATCCAGAGGCTGCAGCCGTTAGTAGGGCCGTCTGCCTCACCCTATAGCTGTCCTTCTCTCCTTCAAAATCACAGCACAGTGACAAACTGCTGCTGAAGAAAATTGGACACAATGCAGTATAACAGTAGGGAATAAGTCGAGCCACTGTTCAGAAAAACAGACAAGTCCTTTATCTGACTGTCTGAACGTCACTCTCAACATTCTTTCCATTCCCAAAGGGTCGTAACTCGTTTGGTTTCCTCTGCAAGTTGTTCATCCCGCTCTCTTCGAAGCGGGAAAGGTTCCAAATTCAAACCAACTCCCGCCCCTTCCAACTTAACTAGTAATTCTTGTTTGCAGATTCCAATACCCATGTACAAACAACTAAAAAGGTGTTGGATTTGAATGCGATCTCAACATGTAAATATCACTTTTTATGTCCCATATCTAAAATACACAGCAAAGTACTGTAAATCACTGCACGTAATTATGGTCATATCTGTACAGTCTGCTGATCTACTCAAAGATTAAGACATTACAAGAGTGGGGTGGAAACACATCAGGCCTAGACTAGCTGTTAGAAATGTCTTGGAGAAGAAAGGAGTTGCATAAATAAATAAAGGTGGCAGAGCAATGGGGGACACCCTGAGTGAAGATGGGGTGGGGTGTGGAGGAGCCTATTGAGGAAGCATCCCCTCCTCAGCTTGCAGTTTTGACCTTGTAGCATGAAAAGCAGCTAGATACTTTTTGGCTGATGCCTGCCCACAGCAAACAAAGTCTCAATATATTATATTGTAGTGATGAGGCCATACCTAGCATACTTAACATAAAAAATTACAAGGTCACTGGGAACTCATTTTTAGTAGCCTATAAAAATGGGTATACACCCCAAAATAAATGTTAAGTTCATGGTTTTAGGGTTGCTGCATAGGTCCTATAAATATTAGATGATATTGATGATGATGATTGTATATACTGTGATTTTAAAACGCAGCCTACCTCTTTCAGCTGGTCGAGCTCCTGCCTGACGGCCTCGTACTCGATCTCCAGGTCATCGTACTGCTGTTTGAGCTGCTGTTTCTCTTCCAGCACCACCAGTCCGTACTCCGCCGCCTGGATCTTCTCATTCGTGGTCTCACTCAGCTCCCGGGAGAGACGCTCGATCTCGGCCCGCATCCACTCCGGTCCGGCCTCCAGTAGCATCACGGCGTTTGAGTAGCCCTGCTCTTCCACGGACATGGTCGGTACCGGTGACGATCAACCAACGTACGCCAGCTGATCTACGCCAAGTGGGGATGTTAGGGCGTCTTCAAGAGGTGTAACCTTGAAGAAGAAGCGGTTGCTTAGATCCGTCTGTATTTAAATTGCATGATTGTTACGCTTGCGTTTCTCGTTGCCGGTCTCGTTTCTTTGGTCATGTAGATGATTCTGTTCAATGATCTCCGACGGGGGAGCTCGCCTTTATCTCTTAGAATCGCCCCATGGTTAAGATCCTGTGTTGCCTTCACCTCTTCCCCGGCTTGTCGGAGATATAGCACCGGAGCGTGTAACTGCCGTGACAAGAAGCAGAAAGACAGCTTCTGGTTTTTATTTTCAAAATAAAACTCTTCTCAACGAAAACAGGCTACAGACCATGTGTGATTGTAGGTATATTTTACATTGTTTACGCACTAAAATGGGAAAAAAAATAAATTTAAGGGAGAGCATGTAGTCTGCGAAATGCCGTTGATTATTTCCTAAAATGTGAGCGCTGTTTAGTTTTATTTTGAAGGCAAAACCCGTGGCTTCCGGTGTGTTCATGTTATCATCTGCTTGTTTGAAACAGCTGAACGGTCCGTTCGCGGAGAGACGCACCTACGCAACCAGCTGGGACACCTTCGACAGGGTGGCCTTGCTCGTCGGGAAATGTAGTACACAAAGTGCGTGAAGCCAACGAAAGTGGCCAGCCGACCCCAGGAACTGAACTCATTTCCCATAAGGCTTTGTTTATTTGCTTATGTGGAGCACGGAAATCTGTGTAAGAGCCGTTTGTTGAGATAGAAGCAGAATGAACAGACTGACTAGCGACTGCTCCTCAGCATTTACCACATGTATATTTGCTGCCATCTGTCGGAAAAGTTAATGAATTAATCTTTTCAGGAAAATGCACTGAATATTTATATACACAGTTTTGTGATGTTTTTTTTTTTATCACCGGAGTGCAGCAACATATGAAAAGGGTCTCATTTAACGTTTCTTCAGTCTCTCAGGGATTATGTCACAATGGTTCATATACCTTTCACAGTCTCCCGATTTCTATGATATGTTCTGTTGTGTAAATGAAGTAATTTTCAGAAGTAAATATTCATAGTAATATGTTTGTTCTAAAATGTATGCAATTGAGAACTACATTATTGTATTATTTATGTATATCCTAGAAATGCATTATAGCTTACCTGATACTCCATGTCTTGAAGACCTTTTTGATGTTACACACTTTGACATGTCATTGGTGAAATAATTTACATAATAATAATTTGGGTGCTTTCCCTTTTGATGTGCAGGATTCAGGGCTCTGTTAACATTCATGCTGGCTCACAGGCTTTGCCTACTGGGGCACTTAAATGCAACAGAGCCATCATTAATGTTATTAGTTACACTTTGACAAGTCAAAATGTCTGCATACAATTTTGACATAAGCTGGCCAACTTGTACTTTACCTTAAACTTGTTCTTTATAATATAAATCCTAGTGTATTTTCATTTTATGCTGCTTTATAGGCTACTTCAGCTACACTATGTCTCAGATGGAAATATTATACTTTTTACTTAATTACATTTATTTCCCAACTAGAGTTACTAAATAATGTGCAGAACAAAATTTAACATACAAAACATATGATAAATTTATAAAATAGGCTATGTATAGTTAAAGATTAAACTTCGTAACAGTAAATAAAGTTGATTAGCTCCATCTTGGGGCGGCACAGTGGCCCGGTGGATAGCGTTGTGGCCTCACAGGTTCAAACCCTGGTTGCCCCATCCTTTCTGTGTGGAGTTTGCATGTTCTCCCCGTGTCTGCGTGGGTTGTCTCCGGTTGCTCCGGCTTCCTCCCACCGTCCAGAGACATGCGGCCTAGGTGACCCTAACACCTTAGATATGTAATATAGCACTCACATTTATATATAAAGTATAGATTAGCTCCACCTCTACCAGCTAAATCATTGAAATGCTATTAACACATTAATAACTGATAATACCTCTCTACTTGTAGTAATAATTTAATAGTAATATTTGAAAAACTTAATAGAGTAAGTGTGAAGTTGCTACTTTTACTTTTACTTGAGTTGAGAATTTGAATGCTTCTTACTGCTTAGTGTGCTTTAGAAATACGGATCTGCGGCTGAAAGAAAATTATTGTGTTTACGGTAACAGATAAGAGTGTACTCAACCTTACAGATGAAATCTAAAGCATCACATGCCTCTTTGACGGGATCACTAGACTGTCATGAAATCTGGAAAACAAAAACTGTGAATTGTCTGTGTTAACATTTAATGGTGGAAATTTTGAGTAATTTTCTGGATACAGACAGACCAATCAAAAACCTCCAGAGATGTGTGTATTTATATATATATATACCTCATAAGTTGTAAGCTGCATATTCAAAATATAATATAAATGATAATAGGATTCATGATATAGGCTATGATTTAGTGAAAATATACAGTAGGCCTATATGTATAGTGTATTTATACTGATGGTATTTAGTTGCTACACAACCATGAATAAAAAAGCAATGTTAAGCAGGGAATTTGTTAAAAAAAAGTCAGGATAAATGCGCAAGAACCCACACATTTTGGTGGCATTGATACAAGCTGAAACAAGCTTAGATCACGGAAAAAAATTGGTTTTGTAAAAGGTATAGGGATAGATTGTTCTGCTCATGCAATCAGGATTTGAAGGATTTTTTTTTACTATAACATGGACAGGCTTTGAAGTCTCTCTAAATGCTGTACATCATAGACTTATCTCTTACCTAAATGTAACCAGCTTTAGCAAGGTGCAAGGTAAGCCAATCAGATTGTATCTACTTGCTTTATCATTAAGGTCCCACTACTTGTAGCAGCAGGGTAGGGTAGGGAACTTTAAGTGTGTCAATTTTAAAAATTCTCTGATCTCTCAAAAATCCCAAATCTATTTGTATTTATTCGCAACAATAGACATGCATATCATTAATTAAATACATGTTAGAGTCTGGTCAGGTGAACCATTGCACAGGTGTACTAATGACAATATGTACATTAACAGACAGAATATATTGTATCATTGTATATCATAACAGTCCAGCAGAAGGCAATAGTGATGTGGTAATATGAGTTTTTGTTGAGGAGTGGGTGCTCTATTTTATACCTGCACAGTAATAAGATTAGTAGTATAATCCAGAAGGGGTCAGGAATAGCCCTGCACTCCCCCCAGAGCCGCAGACAGGAGGAACCTGTGTATGGAGGTAATTACGGACAGTCTCTGCTACTTTTCACCACATTCTTGAGGTGAACATATTTCCGTACTTGTCCCGAATCTGTCATCCTGGTGAGATCGATGGCTTTCCACAAAGGAGCACACAGGATCCTGTGGGCACTTGTGTTGCCCCACCCCGCTGCACAGGGATAATCTGAGACAAATCAAATCAAGAGAGGCTACAGGATTGACTTTCCACAGAGCTGAAGAGGGAAAGACAACGTCAGAGCTGTGGAGGTTGATGTCAGAAATCCTGGCAACTTCAGCTATGAACCATATGTTTTCTGAGATGCTGGTTACAAGCATCGCATCTCACGCACTCCAGGTAAATCTGCTTTTTAAATTAAATTGATTTGTTGTATTTATTGTTAGATTGGTTGCATTTTCTTCTTCCTTAGCTAATTCAAAGTTTATTACATTTCACATATGTCTTGAAGAGTGGAATAGAATTTTGTACTGTGATGAGCTACTGAGGCACAACTACCAGCTAACAATAGCAGCTTGCCAATCCTTCAAAATGGATTATGTCTGCTTTCCATTTGACTGAATATGATTTATGATGATATTTGATCAAAATATGTGTATTTGTAGGTGATACTCTCTAAGTTGTCTTCTCATGTATAAAAACAAATTGATCACTCAGTCTGAAACAGAGACTTTTCCAGTCCAAAATTATAAAAATCAAGAGCACTGGTTATATATGGAACATTTCCAAGTTGTGTTAGGTAACTGGTTGTAGTACTGTATTTTAGGCTTAATGTAAGGCCTACAGCACCAATTGTTCAGAATGCATATGATAAATGTAAAATATAGTGTAACAAGGTATACATGTATGTGTGCAGGCTCTGCTATGACTGTGGATGTCAGCCTGTCTGTTCATACTTTATGGCACTCGATGCAAAGACAAGAGGTGGATTTCTGATGGAATACAGTAAGTAAGGGTGGTATCCAGTCATAAATAAAATGTATCTGTTAGACTTTTACTTCACCAAAATGTTACATTAAAATGCATTCCAAGTGTGCCAGAAGAGTGGCTATTTTTACTGTAATACTCTGATGACAGACTTGCAATGCCAAACAAGGATTAGGCACCTCTAAGTGAGCACTCACCACTGATGATCTTAATTATTTACAGTAGGTGCAACAGAATAACCTTCATTTGGTGGAGTCTCTATGCTGCACTGTAGTTTCTAAGGATATGAAACCGTATAATTTAATAGTATTACACCAGTTTACAAGGTACAAGGTAGATTTATCATTTTACAATACAGTTGTATAATGAGATCAAGTTGTAGTTCCCTTTATGCTTCTCACAAAAAGCAAATGTTGTATACAAAGTTGATATCCACTAGATCTGTAGGTAAATAACTAAAAAGTCATAGAATTAGCAAACACTAATATTTATTATATTTTACAGAATGTACATTTTGAGAACCAATTAAATGCAATAAACATGTCTGTATATCACTTGTTATGTGACATGTTAGACCAGAGACTTTTTGTGTAATATCAGATTTTTCTTCTTTTCTTTCCCCCTATAATAACTCCAGTCAGAGCCCCCAGGGCAAAGTACACAATAGTAGGAGAAGCTATACGTTATGTCATTCCTGAACATATGCAATGCTCAATCGGCTGTGGAGGTCAAGCCTGCAAGTATGACAACCCAAGTTACTGGAGTGATGACCAACAGGCCATAAAAGGCCTCTACTCATCCTGGTACACATGCTTGTTCTACCTTAGCAGTTGTGATAGTACAACAAAACATCCAAATTATCTATTTCAGTCAAATGTTTTCATATTTTCCCTTGAGCCATGTTACTATGTAATATACACTTCACTAACTTTGTTTCAATTGCTTTAGGGTCACTGATCATCTTCTCGCTATGTCCAGACCTTCAACAGAAATCATTGAGAAGTATAACATCATTGATCAATTCAGAAGGTATACACAACTTTGTTTCATGGTCTTTCTGCAGCTTCCTGACTAAAAACACACAGCATCTGAGGAGATGAGAATAATGAAGTGCTCATGTCTTTGTTTGTGCGTGTGTGTTTGTGTCAAGGAATGATATTAAAACAGTGATCAACCTACAGATACCTGGTGAACATGCCAGCTGCGGAAACGCTCTGGAACCAGAGAGCGGCTTCTCATACCGCCCAGAGGTCTTCATGGAAAACAACAGTAAGTGCTTTATGCAATTATGCTTGATGAATCTGTAGCGTTGCTCAGGTTAAATCTGAAAACAGCTTATCATTTCAGTTTATTTCTACAATTTTGGCTGGAGTGACTATGGAGCGGCCAGTCTCACCACTTTGCTGGACATAGTGAAGGTCATGGCCTTTGCACTGCAGGAAGGAAAGGTAGCAGTCCACTGTCACGCTGGTCTCGGCAGAACAGGTACTAGATTTGTAAGGAATGTTGTATGAGGCGTTTTGACTTTTCAGGACAGTCAGATCTTTGATCTGCACAATCTGACACACAATGATGTGTTTCCCCTTTCTTCTCTCCAGGTGTGCTGTTAGCAAGTTTTTTAGCCTATGCTACCAGGATGACTGCTAACCAGGCTATATTGTTTGTACGTGCTAAACGCCCAAATTCCATCCAGACCCGAGGTCAGCTGCGTTGTGTCAGACAGTTTGTCCAGTTTCTTGCCCCTTTGAGGAGTGTGTTTTCCTGTGCTGAGCCTCGATACAAACCAGTAACCCTTTCCCAGTACCTGAACCGCCAGAGACACATACTGCATGGCTATGAGAGGAAGGAGCTGAGGCACCTGCCAAAGATTGTTCAGCTAGTGTCTCGGTTGCTGGTGGATATTGCAGAGAATCGACAGGTGATAGAGGAAGACATCCTGGAGGCCCCTGATATAGATGACATAGAAATGACCCTCAGGATCATTGAGAAGATGGGCCCTGAATTATTTGCAAAGGAGCCTCGCTTACCAGGTATTCCGACCTTACCTAGACATTTCCACGAGCCACCCATCTTCTACCATCGCAAAAGTCTGAGTTACAGTGAGTCCGACTTGAGACGACTGGGCTCACAGCTCAACCTCCTCACACAGCCTCTCAGCTCCTTGTCACAGAGTAATGCTGAATTGTCCATTTCCCCACCCGAGGCCACTCTCCCTGCAACCCAGTTTCAGCGTTGTAATAGCAACACATCTGAAGTCTCACACAGCTCAACAGGCTCACTTTGGCAAATCAAGAATGTAGAAAACCAAAAAGATGGATCCATTCTGCTGAAGAAAATAAAGCACAATGCCATCCAACGCAGTGAGTCTGTGGGATACAATGAATCTGACAAAAAAGGGAGCATCTTGTCCAGGTGGAAGGCAGAGCAGAGGGAAGAGCTAGTAATGAATGGGAGGAAGTGTCACGGTAGAGAAGAGGAGCTATCAGACAAATCAGAGGTGCCCTACATCACCCTGCAGTCAGAATTGTCCCTGGATGCGAGGAGGTTGCTAGTAGCACAAGCCCTGGCTGTGGACCTTTTTCTTGATGGGGAAGAGCAGCACAAGAGCAAAGTCTTGGCCTGGCAGGTAAATGGACCATACCAGTGCGGTGGTATTTATAGAAATGGCATGTGTGCATCCGAATTTATGTAAATGTTTGTTTGTCTTTCACAAGGGCTGATGTTATGCTAAAATGTCAGTTATGTCAGCTGTTACCTGTTCATAATAGACTATAATTCACAAAGGCGTCATTCCATGCATCCTAGTCCAGAAGCTGGTGTCTGTTCCCTGACATGACATTTTTTCTGCATGACAAACGATAAAATGACCTTTCCTAATTTGGAGAGAACAACCCACCTCCAAACGCACACACATTGATCCACACAGCGACTGGTATGTGACATACAAATGTCAGTTATTAATTTCAGCTTGAACTTTGGTGACTCCAACGTCTTGAACAATTTCAAAGATGCTATAATGACAACAACTTAACACGTAGCTGTTATAACAGAACAAATCTGAATAGGTTGCCTCAGTCACATACAGGCAGACAGGGTCTAACATGATTGCCTGAATGTGTGCAGGCAGAACTGAACCAAGGAGGTGGCTGGGAAAGGCTGTGCATGGAGCGGGATCCCTTCATCCTCACTGGTCTCATGTGGGCATGGCTGGAGCAGCTTAAAGAGCCGGTCATCTCTGTCCAGGAAGCCAAAGCCTTCAATCCTGGCAACACTGATGCTCAAACTGTCCTCAACACACTTGACCAGGTCAGTGCATACTCGTATGTGCTGATTCACATTTGAAACAGCAAAACTACATATACATATATATATATTTATTAACTGTCCTTGTCATCTCTTCCCAGGCCCCAAAGGAAACATTAAAGTGCATACTGGATTGTATGGCTCATATGCTGATGATACCAGAAGAGGTTGAAAAGGCATTCCTGAATCGTACTATTAAGGCTTTCACCTGGGTAAGAAAACCAATACATCTGATTATTTGGAATTCATTTCAACAATTTAATTAATTTCCTCCTCGCCATTGGTTTTGTTTTGTCAACCTGAGAATCTTGTCTGCCTTTAAACAGATGGAAAATAACTCAGAGGATGGAAGCAAAACATACGAGTCCATGACTACAGTCCTACAGTGTGTCCTGGAGGACATGAGATATATGGCCGTTGACGCAGATGAGAAGTCTATTATGTCTCCGTTCCTTTAACATAGGCACCACCAGTCATGTATATGCGGTGCACTGCCTGTACATCTGTGTTTGGAGGCATGAAAGAGAAAAGAATGCTTTTGTGCCTTGTGACAATATTATCTAATAGGTAATCTGGGCTAAATACAGACATTGGTATGGTATGCAGAGTATTGTCACTAATTCATAACTAACATGCCTCAGTAGATTCTTACCTCAGTAGTGACTGGATGTAACACTGAAGAACAGGTGACCAAAATATATTTTGCAGTAAAGTATGCCTTAAGACTGGTCACATTCAACATCGACATACCTCGCCTCCAAAAGTATAGTTATACAGTACAATATAATCCCCATTCATGTACAGACTTTTATTTTCTTAACAAGCATGTTGTTCACACAATGTATGAATGCCTTTCCCATAACATAGTGTTACATTCAGTTTCCTGTAAACATAGACATATCAAAGAGCATCCTAATGTTAGCATGTATGATTAACAGTTCATAATAAAAGCAAATGTTCCTCCTTCCAGTGGCTTGTGCAAACTGCTTATAGGCACCGTTTTGTGGAGCAGTGGTGCTCAGGAAGTGAAAGAATAAGCTTTCAAGACATCTTTCCCATCTTTCCCTTCTGCTGAGGCCACGATGCTGGAGTAGTCACAGGCGACATGAGTGAACCCTCTGGAACAAAGGCCACAAAGCAGAAAGTAACAAAATTAGGAAATGACTGCCAAGGTAGCATGAATATATAAATCAGTGCCTCCAGAATAAAGAGAAAACACCTGTATTCAGGCAGTTGCATTACTAGTAACTGATGCTAACTTGGCTGCTGTTGATACAGCAAGCCCATACTAAAGCATACAACATATAATACCTGGACATTGTGTGAGAGCCTCCCAGTAAGTGGTATTGGCTATCAAGGGTCAACCCATGGTCTCTGTCATTTCTCCATGTCAACACTCGTAAGGAGAGGTCCTGAGATGCTGTCACCACGCGAAAGCTATCCTGTATATGTGAAGACCACACAAATTGGTCCTCTTCAGACACAGAGGGCATATTATAATGTATAAAACAACAAATTTCAACAGGTGAAGGGATATTTATTGAATTCCACATGAGAAACCAACCTACCACACATATAGCAGAAATAGGCATCGTATGCTCTTTAAAGCTAGCAAGCAGGGCTCCTTTCAGGGAGTAGACCCACAGCCCCTGGTTAGCTGCCAACACTAAGCAGTTGCTGTCCTTGGCCTCTAGAAGGATGTGTGAAGACCAGGTGTTCAGTGGCAAGGGGAAGGTCTCCACCTGCTGGACTAAGAAGTGATTCAAAATTATGCCTAAATGCAGTATTTAGGAAAAACCCACCTTTTAAACACCTAAACTGAACGGGATTCAATCTGCGATGTAGAGCTGATAATTGGTGTACTCTGTATTACTCCACCTGTTTAACTTACATCTATCTCAATTCAGATTTGCCTGCATTTAACCAGTAAGACCTTTGACAGAACACAGACAACAGGCGAGAACTTTCATTCAACTCTGGGTTAAACATTTATGTCAAAATAGCAGTAACTAGTGTGGCAGGTTCTCTAGTGCCATTTATTCAAAATGCATCTTGGGTTGCACTGCATGCTGATCTATTGAGGCTGTGGTCAGTGGTGAAATTGGTATTTTGGACACTAAAACTCATCTTAAGATGGGTGAACATTTTTCTAATATGAATTTCATTGTAGCTGTTTTCTAAATGTCTTGAAGCATTTGGATTCCAGTCATCAATGGGAATAAGCAAAATACACAAGAACAAAAGTATTCAATTGAGCAGTATCCTTACCAGCAGCTTAAGAATACGTATAGTTGGTAGTGGGCTTTCCAATTTTCATCAACTGACCTCTCTTTTCTAATGGCTGATAAAGATTCAGTTTCATATTTTAAGCAAATTAATATCAATCTACAAACATCTCAGTCCTCACCCTGGATCTCTGACTTGTACTTGGTCTTTTTAATGCTGACATCGAAGACAGTGAGGGCTTTGTTGTTTAGGCGCTCGTTGTGGTGGATGATGGCCAGTCTGGCAGGCTGGGTGGGTATGAAGACAGCAGCCTGGCACCCAGTGACAGGCACAGACTGGCACAGAGGTTCTTCGCCCTCAGACGGAGAGGTCAAACTCTCAGTATAAACCACCTGCCAACAAACAAACCCCCCCAGAAATCTAGAAAATGTATATTAATGTTTCATTGTTCTTGTATGAACACATTTTTCCCACCGTGTCTTTGAGGTGTAATAAGGTAAAACAAAAAACACAAGAACAGCCCAGAGCAGGTAACACCAATAGCAGGCAGTCAAAGAAAACAAGAAATACCTTTGGACTTAAGTCATCATTGTCTCTGGTTCCAGCTGTGATCCATTTCTTGTCAGGTGAAACAAGGAGTATGTTGACTTTAAATGTGTCACACACCATTAAACTGGACTTTTTAGTCAAAGATGAATCAGCTAGTGTACACACAGATCCCTGACTAGTTCCAACCTAGAAGAGGATATAATCAGAAGCACATGTTACTTTACTAAAAAAAAAAAGAAGATACTAGATTACTTTTAACCCTATAAATTCTGAGTTTACTCACAGTCAAGAACCAATTGTTGCTGACATTGTACTGTAGTAATGTACAGTGTGGAGATGCAGTAGAAAAGGAGGCCACCTCCTGGCCAGTCTGACCCTGCCAGGTCTTTATGAGGCCAGTGGAGTCTGCTGTGACCACAACTTCATGCTGTTCATCACTTACAATCCCGGTCAAGGGACTCTGCGCAGGACTGCACCACAGGAGTTCACCCTGGGAGAAAAAAGGTGCAACGTCAGGTAAATATCTCGGTGAGGGCATTTCTTACAGTTGCTTGCAGCTTTTAACCGGGGGTGGGGGGGCTAGTGGAGAAAATCTCTTTCAGTGGTGTTTAGCTGGAATGACACCTGCATACACATGGCATGAAGAGGCACATGATTACATATCACTTTGTGGCATCTCAGAACGAAGGAAAATAAAACTTGTATTGTCACAGTGCATTGTAGAAATGTAAGTTTTAGATATGGACTGATAAGGACTCACAGCATGTGACACTTAATGTGGAGTTTTACATGTTTTCTGAGACACTGTCTGCAAATACTGTATGAAAGTTATCCGATCAATTTAAGACAGATGAAAAGAAAAACTAAATATAAAACTTTTAGGTACATTTACATTTACTCATTTAGCTGACGCCTTTTACCCAAAACGACTAACAATTGCTATATGTCAGAGGTTGCATGCCTTACATGCAATATACAGAAAATGTTGATTAAGTAGATCAATATTCAATCAAACTCTGCCTCTAAACGAGACAACATCTTCTATTTTTGTCTACATTTTAACATGATTACACTGGGAATGGATGATGTGCTGAAGGTGTTAGTTGCACTGACATTTTGGATGTTCCATGCTCGGACTGTCCCATCAGTAGAGGCGCTGCACACTGTGACACTGCTGTTGCAGAGGTCAGGGAGCTGAGCTGAATTCCGCTGCAGGTACACCAACCCTACCACCCTGCCTGATGGACATCACGTCAGACACGAACAATGGGACGAGAGACATGATGAAGGCGTACACAGGCGAATGCAGACAGAGACAGCATACCTGTGTGTCCTCTGAGACTTTTGCAGGTATAACCTCCAGATCGGCCTTTCGTCATCTTCGTCTCTATGTGGCAACGTCGCAGTAAGTATCTCTTCCACGAGCGATTCACGTCTTCCCTCCCCAAGACTGTAAAGTTACAGAAACTCCAGCGCTGCAGACACATCCTCCTGAGGGGACCACGCGAAATCACCCGGATGTTTATATAACGTGGTTTGATTTGAAATATTATTTACAAGTGCTCAATTGTCTTTGACGTTGAAAAAGATAGAAATGAAAGTAACTCACCTCCATAACCAGGGAGTCTCTGCAGCTTCATGCCAATCCTGAAATATACCAGTAATCAGGCACAAGTCAAGACAATTTAAAGGAATTATAATAGGCTCGCTCTTTTTGCATATTAGCTAGGCCCACTTCCGCATTTTGGAAACTCCTTTACGTACCTTACACACACTGGAGGCACTGATTAAATCTTCCTCGGCCAGGAATGTAAAAATATGAATAAGGCAATCACCGATCAAGTGCGGGTGATGAAGGTCCATACTGACATCTATAATATAACACTCCCCTCACCAACTGCCTTCCTATGCTATGTCAAAACGGTTGCAGTTCCAAGTGTGGGCAAGCTACGGAAAGAATCTAGGGACAAAGTGGGGTAGTTTGTTTTTAGCCTGCAGTTGCTTCCCTGCGCCACCAGATGTCGCCATTATAAAAGGCAGGTGATCCAGAGAACCGACGTCAGAGGCGTACTGCAGGTAACGCGCACCAGATGCATTATAAACCTAGAAGTAGATGAGTTATACGTTTGAATATGAAAATTAAAAAAAACAAATGACATAAACGCATGTATTAAATCTCATAAATATATGATTTCATCGCCTGTATCATTCAGACGGAGTCTATTTCTGAGGTAATTTGAAATAAATGCATCTAGCCTACTTTTAGAAAAATCAGAGCATATTCCTCCTTGTTTTACCATTGTTTATCTGCAGCTTGTTGTGATGCTTCCTTTTTGGAAAAGTGAGGATTTTTTAATTTATTTTTATTTCAGTCAAGCAGAACTGGAAACATCTGCATAAAAATAACCTCATGGCCACATTAACCACATGACCCACTTAATAACAAAATAAAAAGCCACCCCAATCAGTCAAGGTGAATTCACAGCAGAGGAGTGTGTGTGTGTGTGTGTGTGTACGTGCGTGCGCGCCCATGTGTGTGTGCGCGTGTGTGTGTTTCGAGATTCAGCCCTGGCGGGATTCTTCAGCAGGGCCCCATGTCTCCTGTGAACACGCCCCAGATAGATGAGCCAGATATATAGCCAAGACCTGCGGGTAGCAGAGGAACTGTGAGAAAGAGATAATCGCACTTGCTCACCCCAAGGGTTACCTGTGACACCCTCGCAATGACAAGCGGGCCCAGCGAAAGGGGTCCACGTAAAGGGAGTTTGGATGATACCCTAAACTGCTATCTGTAAAAGTTCCCGAGCGTGTACTATTTTTTTTAAATGCTTTTCGTCATTTTGGAGTTCCTTTGGAGTTACCAGGGCTGTGATCGATCGGAGAATAAGCGCACCGAGTTATTCATCAGCTCTGCAAATCGTTGCATGAAACTGAGAGCGCGGCCGCAATGAGTCGGAGAACACGACGCTGGATTTTAAGAGTTTTACTTTGTTTAGGAATTGTTTATTTGAAAATTGGGTGAGCTGCGCTTATTTGACTTCCAATTAGCGTGTTGTGGGTTCTCAAACACAAAAGACTTTAATAACTGAAGAATGACAATGTTGGTGGTGTTTCAAAACCGCCGATTATATCCCATATTTGCTCAAAAGCAGATAGTAAACGATAAATAAAACATTAAAGGAAGAGCATGCACGTATCACAGTTAGACTAGTGGTAACTGCGTCGTTATCACTAAATGACATTTCCTTCATTATACCTTTAATGTTGGTTAAACTCATAATAATTCAAAGTATGCCTTTAAGCCTTTAATTCACTGAATAAATCTAGTGGTGCATCGTAGCCCAGACATGTTTTAAGATCCCTTTTTAAAGTGAAACAAATATTTTTGGCGATCCTTCCATCTGTTAAAAATGCAATTATCCCTGTAAAACTGTCTGTTTCCCACAAGGATGTAGCCTATTCAGTAAATTATCTGGATTATGACAACCAGATACTCTTAAATATAGTAGGCCTAATAATGATAATAAAATAATAATACATACAACTGTGGGATGCATTTGACTTTAAGAGGTTGTGTAAACTCTTTAAAGGTGAAAAGAAAACTTCAACAACAAAAAATATTCGAATGGGGGAAAAAAATAAATGTTTGGTGGATACTTTTTCTCAGTCATATCCATCTTCCGTTCACAGTGGCTTCTCCTCGGTGGTGGCCCTAGGTGCAAGCATAATCTGTAACAAGATCCCCGGTTTGGCCCCCAGACAACGGATTATCTGCCAGAGTCGCCCCGATGCCATTATCGTCATCGGAGAGGGAGCCCAAATGGGCATCAACGAGTGTCAGTTTCAGTTCAAAAACGGGCGCTGGAACTGCTCTGCGCTTGGAGAGAGGACAGTCTTCGGAAAAGAGTTGAAAGTGGGTATGTTGCTGTCTGTTAAAGTTTGCTCACGATTTGAAACTTGTTTTTCCCAGCAGTAAACACATCTATTAACCACCTGGCACTTAGATGCATAGCATTTGTCTGCGTGGTCTTTTGTGATTTCCTTCAAAAGTGGTTACTCATATGTAGAAAACAATTGCAAAGTGAATTGCAAGATTTAGGCCTATCAAGAAATCAAATTATGACCTGATGCTGATAAAAAATGCATCCATTTGTAAAGTCATGATCTTGACATACATCCTTTCCAAATATAATCAAATACCATAGTATAGGAGCCAGTGTAATTTACATCAGGCCCAGTTTTTCTCCAGGCATTTCATTGAGTAGGGGTTGTTCTGAGTATGTATAAAAGGTATCTGAAGCCAGCACTGTAACAAAGCTCTTGAGAATGTTTGCAGCCTTTCTTTTCAGCCCGGCAGAGTCTCTGGAGACACATTTTCACTGGGCTTTATCCTGTCTTGTGATGGGTGCTGTGGCTCTCACTGTGAGGACGTAGATCTTACCACGGGTATAAGTTACAATGGTGCAAAGCCAAGAGGAAAGCAAGACCAGAGAGTACTAAATTAGAGAAACAAATTAGTTAAAATCAATGTTTCTACCACTGAGACAGAAGTCTCCTGTAAAGAGTAGATGCACTTCAGGAGATTCTGAAATCATGGCTGGAATTTTGTGGCTTGTGGAAGGTGGATTAAAGATGGGTAGCTATTGATGATACCAATACCAGGAAGACGTAACAAGGTTTAATTAAGTATAATGATTGTATTATGATGCCTTAATGGCTGCAGTCAGTGTAAGGAGTCTGAGAACCCTATAGGTGGATTTGTAAAAACCATTTTAATAAAAAACCTTCAAAGAATTTTTCATACATTATCATTTTGTCCTGGGCCAGAACTATTGAGGTAAAACAAAAAATACCCATACCAATACCCATATACACAATGGTCAGTAGCTTGGACCAGCTGTTGGAGGCCATCTTGCCTGCTGCTGTTGAAAAAAAAGGATTATCTCTTCATGCTGTTGAAGTGAACACAGTGGTATTTGACAATCTGTTCCTTTATGAATAAGGGGTTTTAGCTCATCAAGAGTCCTGGTCTTTCCAAGACAGAAGTTTAAGTCTATGGCCTGGACAGCCATACCAAATAGATTTGTCTCACTGATCAGATTAGTGAAGAGGACCAATGGTTGGAAATGAATGCCATTGTTGATGCCCAGGCGGAGTGGAGCTGTAAAGCTTGCAATTGTTCTTAAAGCAAAGGAAGAATGACCGTCGAACTGACATAATGCATTATGGGTAATGCAAGGTGCATCAGCTTTGAGCCATTTTAGGTCTAAACTATGTTTGTGCTTGAACTTTGCAATTATGCTAAGCTGAATGAGATGAGGTCCATATAAAGAGGCTGGATGACTCTGCAGAGATGAAAGAGAAACAAACAATGAACTGGTATTACTAGTTCAACTTATACAGACTACTCTCTATTTAATATCTTCAACCTCTCATTACAAGGTTATGAAGGATTCATACCATCTCTTGTGGTGAATGCACTTAGTAGTGCAGGGGAAAAATTAACAACGATGCAGTCAGAACTGGCTGACTGCACTGACACACCTTCTTTTTTGGCTCAGAGCCCATTGAGTCCATAAAAACGTCCACATAATTGATGCCTCAATATGAGTTTTTTTTTTCAATGGCAAGTGCACACATCCAAGATGTTTATCAAAAACATGGCCACTTTGCATAGGAAACCGAGCAGCAGGAGGAAGCACAAAGACGGTATGATGTTTGTATTGAACAAACAGAGACAAGATGAGTTTATTTACACATAGATGTGATGGATGTTATAACCAGGAGTTTCCTGTTTGCATGATAATGAATCACAGATCTGGGAATTAAATCATGCTATTACTATGAATATTCATCTTCATTACATTATGGGCTGCTTTCACATTGTATTAGAAGTTAAAAAGATTGCTTTGTTTGCATTAAGGCTTTGAGTAAGATATATTAGACTTTCTCCTTGTAGTATTTTTCTCTTGGCTTATTATTTGACTTGAGGACTTTGTATCTGGATCTGTCCGTATGAGTCCTGTCAGATTAACCTTTACTTATTTGTCGATATTTCCGCGTGTGTAAATGATTTGTTAGCTGGACTTGGGCGAGATAACGACAGGATGAAGATTCTGATGTCAATGCCTTATGCGTTTACACAGAATGTGTCCGTTTGTGAGCAGATCAATAGCCCTTCCTTGACAACCCTCTTATTCATGCAGCTTTGTTGACTATACTCTCTTTGGCCATTTTGGTTCACGGGCAGGACAGTTTCCAGGTCAGGTTTCAAAACCCTGGAGCCCTTGAGTGATATGTCAGTAAGACTGTGATTTAAGCACACATACTGTTAATAATTAATGTTGTTTCCTATTTAAAAATCCTGTTACGTACTTCTTGTATTCCCCTTAAAATGGAGGAGAAACACCATGACATTATCTATTTCAAAAAATCTCACGGTACACCTGTAACATTTTATTCATCACCTTTTTTTTCCTGCTCTGCTAGGCAGTAAAGAGGCTGCATTCACCTACGCCATCATTGCAGCAGGGGTGGCACATGCCATCACAGCCGCCTGTACACAGGGGAATCTGAGTGACTGTAGCTGTGATAAGGAGAAGCAGGGTTTCTACAGTAAAGACCAAGGCTGGAAGTGGGGAGGCTGCTCGGCTGACATCAGCTACGGCCTGGGCTTCTCCAAAGTATTTATCGACGCTCGGGAAGTCAAGCAGAATGCAAGGACACTCATGAACCTCCATAATAATGAGGTGGGACGCAAGGTAAGTGGTTAGCAATAGGATCATATCTCTTTTTTTCAGCTGAATAACTTTATAGATGACAGAATTTGTTCCCATCTCCAAATAAAAGTTTTCATTGAGAAAATAAGAGAAGACAAATTGAGGCTGGCCTCAGTTACTGTTAATAGTCTCTGCCATGATGTGGTGTGGGTGAACCTTGTCAAAGATCTGGGCAGTGG